CATTCCTGGGACACACTAACATGCCGATGGTGGCAAGCAAGCTTCCACCGTGCAAGCAGATGTGTAAGGTGATGGTGAGGCAGCCGCCCGAGGGGTCTCTGCCCCAGGACGCGCCACAGTCGTAGACACAGGGGCAGGACCAGGTGAGTCTCACGCTCAGCATGAGCAAGCCCCAGCTGTCGCCCCCCAGGGGAAACACGCTTCTGTGGGTGCTGCTTGGATGCCAATAAATGCAGGCTTGTGATGCCATTTTCCAGGGGAGATGGTGACGGAGGCCAGCAGGGGGCCAGCAGGGACAGCGGGAGCTCACATTCCTCATTTAGTGCTATTCATTGGCCACCTCTGTGTTCCGCGTGGCACGTGGCTCCTGTGTGGAGGAGTCTGTGACCTCGTGAGGAGTGTGCCCCTTCTCCACAGAAGGCAGGTGTGTGCTTAGGGCTGTGTTCTGGAGACGGAGGGCTCAAAGGGTGACCGTGTCATGTCATGAGGGAGGCCAGGTAGGATCCTTGGAGAAGAACCTAGAGGCAGCAGAGAAGGTGATCGGAAAAGACTCAGCAGAGGAGGAAGACTCCAGGAAGTAGGAAGGCTTGAGCAAAAACAAAAAGCAGGAAATGTCAAACGTTGGAGCAACAGGCCGCTGGGCCATCGCTGTCTAGATCTTCCTGTGACACGTGAGGACACAGAGGCCCAAAAAAGCTGAGATTTGCCAAGTTCTCCATTGACAACTAAAATAGAACTGAAGCATCTCTGCCCTGAGTCCAGGACCCTTTCTAGGGCTGTCCCCTGCGTGGGTGGCTGGCAGCAGGGTGGCACACAGCCAGAAGGTTTCCAGAACCTCACTGCAGAGCCGGTGGGGCTGGACGCCTCTCGGGGCTTTATGTAGACCACTGTTTCCGAAGCACATTCGGAGATGACTGTCCAGCACCGTCGTGGTCTTGATGGAAGGATGCGAGGTGACCTGAAAACCTGCATTTGAGACTCTTCCTCAGAGTGATGCTCATGCACTTCAGGAGTCAGAAAACTGAAAACAGAGAGAGGAAGAAAAACTGGTCAGAGCAATAAAGGAAGAATCAACAGATGGGGTCGAGGTGGAGGGCGGCACGGTATCAGAGCGTGAGAAAGGAGTTGGAGAGTCGTAAACTGGCGGCATTCCAAGCTGGAACTGGGCCCTGCACTTGGGTGGCCACCCTCTAAAGAAAGGTCATACGAGCAGAGGAGGAACTTCAGAGCAGGGCGTTGGATCTGCTGCCCACGTGGGCGTTGAGCCTCACAGTTGGGAAGAGACTGGGTCTCGGGTGGACCTCTCACCTCCCTCCAGGACGAGTCAATGAGGTGAGAACCCACCAGCACAACAGGCACGAGGAACATTCAGGAATGTCAGTGGAGAGGGTGGTGGACAGGAACACATCTCCAAGACCTCCTGATTAAGCGGCAACTCCACTCCCTTACAGTGTGGTCCTGGGCAGGCTCTGAGCTCTGTACTCCTCATCTTAAGTTCTCACCCAGGAAAGCAAAGTGGCTGCATCTTGGGGCCTTTCCCGCTGTCTCCTGGTGACCACTGATAGCAAAAAGAATGGTCAGGCCGGCCTGGCCGAGTCGGCTCTCCAGTCCAACACTGGTTTATAAAGGGTCTGTGCGGGGAGGTCAGCATAGGTTCAGTTATGGGAAGAGACGCTTTCCAGTGTAGCCCAAGTTCATACACTGGTTGTGAGGCCAAAAATAACTGTGGTTCCCATAGCACCGTGGCACTTCTTCCTTCATAACACACCTCACTTATTTATAACCACCTCCAGCGCCAGGCTCACAGGCACGTGGTGAGACTACTGGGCTTCCCTCTGCACCCACTGCCCTGAGCAGAGTGCCTGGTGCCTGAGCTGTTCTCAATTACTCTGGGTAATTATTGAAATAACACCTATCACTTGTGCTCAGGAGTGATTCCAATTAAGACTGATACATAGAGGGGTGCCAACATGGGGGTGCATGCCTTTAATCTCAGGGACTTGGGAGGCTGAGGCAGGAGGATCTCAAGTTGGTGACTAGTTTGAGATCCTGTCTCAAAAACAAACAAAAAAAAGAAGAGAAAGAAAGAAAAGAAAAGGGGGGCTAGGGATGTAGCTAACAGGTAGAGCACCACTGGGTTCAATCCCCAGTACCACACACACACACACACACACACACAACATTCACAAGCACCCCCCAGAAAGCTACCCCCAGCCCAAAAGGGGAAGTTGGGAGTAAGTTGTGGCGGAACATTCTAAGTTAAAAGAGCACTAAATTTGGATTCACACCTGACCTTAAATTTTAGCTTCACTTTTGTGATTGTGAGCAAGTTATTTGCTCAGCTTCTCAGAGCATCAGCGTTACCTTTCCAACGGGACAGAAATGGAAAGGAGATGGGACAGGCTTGAGGGGGTCACTCAGTAGGGCACCGCATCTCAGCCTGCCCCGTCACCCTTCTGCCCGTCCCTCCCTTAACCCTGTTCATCATGCCCAGCAGACACTGCCTGAGGAAGGCGGTGAGGGGAAGTGAGCAGAGGGGAAGTGGGCCTCCCTCCAGGGTGGGGATCAGCTCCGCACCCCGCACCCCCCCAGGTGTCCTGTGGAGCCTGTTAGCGGTAGCTCTGCACGCTCTCCCCAGACCCCACTGTGGCTGTGTGATTGCAGTGACGAGTGGCGCCGTCAGACTGTACACCATGCAAGGTGGGAAGAAAGGAACCAGAGCCCTGGTGGCTGGAGCTGGGGAGGAGAGGGCCTATGTGCTGCCAGAGGCTGGAGAGGACCCCGGCCTGGCCGGCAACGGGATGCAGGGTGGGATTTCTCCTGCAGTCCAAGTAGGCAGTGAAGGCGGGGCTTTAAGCGGGGAGTGACCACAATACAGTTTCTATTTTTAAAGGTCACTCTTTCTACTGCTGCATAATAAATTGCCACAAAGTTAACATCTAAAACAACACACGTTTATTATCCCACAGTTTCTGTGGGTCAGGAATACAAGCATGGCTTAACTGTGACTTCTGAAGAATGGGGGACATGACAGTAGGGCCACCACAGCCTGGCCACCACAGCCTGGGTACTGTACGCAGGTTCCTAAACCTGTTCTTTTTTTTTTTTTTTTTTATGTGCATCTAAAGTTGATTAAACTTTAGATTTCAACTTGGACAAGTCTCTTGAACCTTGGTTTCCCCATCTATAAATGGGGATAACCATTCCTACTGCAGGATTATACTCAGAAGTCAATGGCACAGTGCTGTAAAGTAACTGCTTTGCAGCCCAAGGATAGAATAAGATGGTCAGAACTCTGTAGTGTTCAGTTGAAGTCAACCAAACTCACTGGTGACTTGACTCTCGTGTATTGACCAGAAGACCAACAATGAGCACTTATGAAGAACCACTTGCCAGGCACATGGGTTCGTGTCATATGCTCCATCCATTTTCTCCTCTAAGGGAAGGTCTACACGGGAACGTTCAGTACTATTGACCCAGTGAGTGGGTCATTGGAAAATGCAGCTGTAATGAAGGGCTGGACTGTCACCATTGCCGTCTAAGGCACAGGTGTGGTGACCAGTGGGGGCTTGTGGTTGTTGGTGCAGGTCTTAGGCACACCCTGCTCCTCTTGTGCCCTGAAAGGCTGAGGGCACGTGCAATGACTAGGCTGAGGTTTGGTTGCTTCCTTCGAGTTCTCCTTTACCACTGAGTGGAACTTGACACTCTCTTAGGAACAGCTGCTAAGCTCACTGATTCTAACTAATGCCCTCCCAAAGTGCCTCCCTGGGGTGGGGAGGGGTGGTGCATTTGTGGGTACAGCTCTAGTTAATATGTTGTAAAGGCACAATTTGTTCAACAGGGTGTTTTTGCAGACGAGGAAACCGAGGCCTGCCAGGGAGTTCCTATTGCAGGATGGAGGTGGAGTCAGACCCGGTCTCTGAGCTCTGTTTATGACCTGCTTTTGCCAAGCAGACCCAGTTTCCTAAGGGAAATCTTTATGTATGCTTCATATCCACCCAAACAAAATTTAAAAAACAATTTTCACCCCCATGATAATTAGATACCTGTCCACACAGGCCCCGTGGAGTCCCGGTACGGTAACCCCAGCCCTCTCCCGGGGGCTTTCGGAGCAACCTCGGGAGCCGGAGCCCAGCCGACTTCGCGGCCCGCCCTCCCCCACGTTTTCGTCGCCCGGCCTCCTTAGATCCCGTCGCTGCCCTGGGGCCTCCCTTGACCCCGTCGCCGCCTGGGCTGGTTTCCCTCCCGCCCGCTCCCGTGCGCTCCGTCCTGCAGGCCGCTCCAGGATCGCTCCGCCTGCGAGCGCACCAAGCCCGGAGCGCGGCGACCGGCTGGAGCGGGGCCGAGGCACAGTCCCGGAGTAGCTGTCACGCAGCTGTCCCCGCCGCGTCTCCGCCCCCACCAGTGACGCCACGGCCCCGCCCGCGCCCCGCCCCGCGCTCCGCCCGCCGCGCCCCCGCTCCGCCCCGCAACTTCGCCCCGGGCAGCGACGCCGGGACGGCAGCTCGGGGACAAGGCTGTCACCGCGGCCCTTCCCTTCCACCCGCGTGAGCAGCTCAGGCAGCCCGCACCGCAGCGCGCCGGCAGCCGGCATTGTGTGGGTGCAGCGGGTGACGTGCCCGGAGCCCGAGGGTCGGCCTGTCATGACAAGGAGCGTTCGTCGTTAGGTAGGCGCACGGTTTCGTTTGTTCTTTTGGCTTCCGATTTGGTGGGGAGGGGCGTCCTCGACAGGAACGAGCGCGGCACGTTAAGAAGCGTGTGGACACGGGCGTCCTAGGTGTCCGCCACCCCGGCGGGTTCGGGCATCTGATGCCCTCCGGGGAGAGAAGGGAAGTTGCTGAGCGAAAGGGGCACACGCACTTTTTGCAGGCAGAACAGAAGGGTGCCCTGGAGAGAGGAGGAACGGGCCAAGAAGGTCAGAGGAGCCGGCGGCAGCGCCCGGGCGGGAGCATTTCTGGGGCCGGGAAACGCTGGACTGGACGTGGCTGGAGGTGGGGAGGGGTGCTTGAGCGCCGGCGGATGGGGGTCTGGGTGGCCCCTGGTTTAGGGAACGACTTCTGGCACTCTGTGTCAATGGAGAATCCAGCTCAGGGTAGGATCACCGTCCCCAGGGTCCTCACTTGTCCTCAGGCTGACCAGTTGAGCTTGACTATGAACCAGCCCCTTCCTCTGAATTCCAGATCTGACAGGTGGGGTGGGTGGGATGATGAGAACCGGGGAGAGGGACTGGAAAGGAGAAGTGGGTTGCCTGGATGTGGACCTGTGTCTGGAAGGATGGGGGAGTGGGATGCTCCTGAGGACAGGAGCCATGGGCAGGCCTCTTGGCAAGAGGGGCCCAGAAGCAAGGCATCTGCAGCCCAAGACTGTCACCTCCTGGCTCCTCCCACAGGGCAGTGGCCATAGGTAGGACCCTTCACTTGAGAAGGAAGTGGGTGCTGTTTGAAATTCTATCAGCTGAAGCTGTGCAGGTGTTAAGGTGGCAGAAGGGCTGTGCAAAGTGACAGCTCAGGAGCAAGACAGCAAGTGGGGTGCCAAGAGAAGCTGGCTGGCTCTGTGCAGCCCGGTGGTGCCCAGTACCTGGCAGCAGAGGTGCCCGTGTGTGGTGTGAGTGAGCTTCTCCTCTGGGGAAAGTGGGGCTGGTCCTCCCTGCTCCCCACCGTCTGCCTGTGTCCGTGCCTTGGCTGCAGGTCTAGGATTGTGACTAATCATTGCCCCCATTCCCACAGAAACTGCCTGGCCCTCTCTAGGGGACTGTGCATCACCTGTGGTCAGCTGTTCATCCCATGATTACCTGACACAGTCATTTCTTCCTTTTAGTTTCATCTCAGGTTTGTGTGGTCTGAAGATATTGCAATCCCCCCTTCCCCCCCCCCCCAGTATTCCTATTGGCTTAATTTTCCTCTTCCTCTTGCTCTTTCAGTCTTTTGGGACCAGGCTCTGGGTCTGTCCACACACGTCTTCTAGGTCCACCATACTGTTTTACCTACTGTCACACAGTAATGTCAACCAAGGACTCCCCAGAACCAGGATCGGCACACCTAGTCTCTGGTGGTCAATCAGGAAGCAGCCAGTAGCTGCCCTCCTCCTGTAGGGACGAATTGCAGGGATGTGTCTACTTAGGGTGACAGTCGCTAGAGAAAAGGCCTCCCCTCTTCTCTCTGCCCCTCTAGCCATCCCTGGGGATCAGCCTCCTGTGCTCAGCTGCCCTTCAGTGGAGATCCTTCCAATAATGGCTTTTCCCCTGGGAGGCAATGAATTTGTCCCAAAATGTGCTGCATCTAAAAGCCTAAAAACAAACATTGGAGAATCTGTTAATAAAAATCATCCTGCAAATGTGGTTTTTCCAAAAGACTCCCAATTGGTGTTGCTTCCCTCTTCCCCTGACACGCTAATGTGCGCTTTTGCTTTGAATATTTTATCCTCGGTATGCATATAAAGATACACAAAGCTAGAGAAGAAAACTGAAAGTGCCCACCGGGGACTCGCATGGAATTCTGATTACCCAAACACAAACTCCAGAAATGGCTCCCTTTCTTTGTTATTGACGATGTTATTTCCAGCAGAGTAGGGACCTGTCCCATTTCAAGAGTGGCCTGGAGAAGTCCAGGGGACTATGGAGGAAATACTTATGTCTACAGATCTTGGTCGCTAAACTTACGTACAAATCCATGCTTAGGTATGGAAGTTCATGGAGTGGGGCCCTGCTGATGACAGCCAGGTGCCCCACACTAAACCTGAGGTCACTGCAATGGAAACATTGTTACCATAATAAACCCCCAAAGTACAGCTGCGGTAGCAGCCACTTGCCCTTTCCAATTGCAACCAAGCCACTTCTGTTACACTTTGGGTGAATTCAGGGGTTATTAGTTCACCCCTCTGTCAAGGGACCCAAACACAGCCAGGGACAGCTGTGGACAGTGAACAGTATCGCTTTCCGATTTCGTCGTAAATGGTGGGATCGCGCAGACAATAGGCTCTTGGGTTGAAGAGTTTGCCAGCCGGTGTTTTACTTTATAGGTCACTGCATTCAACGTGCTGGAAAAAATCAAAAGCTGTCTTGTTGTTATTCTGAAAAGAAGTCAGAAGTCTAAGGCCCGGTTCTTGCTTTCTTGGGAGGAAGTGGTGGTGGAAGCGAAAGTCCTTTCATCTGCACAGTGGGTGCTCCTCAGGGCAAGGCAGAGCTGACTTTCCAAGGGGCTTCCTGTGCCCCGGTGGCCAAGAGCGGCTGGTGCTTGTGCACAGCTCCTTTACCAGGGTTGTTTTCTCCTGCCAAGCAGAACTCCAAGAGCTGGGGGAGATAGACAGCTTGTGTCTGTGGCCATTCAACCAGAAAAGAATACCAGCCAAACAGACAATGGGGGAGAGGACTGGGTGGGGGTGGGGAGAGGAGGGATGGCCCCTCTGCACTTAATTGGTTCCCAAAGGCAAACCTAGGTGTGCAGCGGTGTCACAAAGCAGTTGTCATGCAGACGCCCCAAGAGGCCACTATTAGATCTGTCTGGAAAAGGAGATGATTAGGAGTATTTCCACCCACGAGCAGCCCTTCCTCTGGCCCCCTTTCTGCCTACTTCCAAATCATATTCTCACAGGCAGTCTCGGGAAGCAACATATTCGTCACTTAAGCACAGGGAAGCCTTCCTGTGGGCTCAATGGAACCAAGTCCCTCCCCGCCTCTTGTACCTTGAATGAACCACTATGGAAGCCCGCGTGTCTCTTCCCTCTGGGTTAATGGGCCAGGTTTGGGTTTGGTTTTGTCACTGTACACTCATCCCACTTGGGCTGGAAAGGTTCCCTGAAAGTAACGCATGTTCTCCTGAGTGTGGCAGGCCACCTAGGAAAGGCCATCTGACACGTGGCTGTCTGCTGGACTGCCCTCCCTCAGAGGAAATCCAGAACGCCATAGACTTGGAGAAGTTGCTTTGGTTTACTTTTTTGTGCATTGTTTACGTGACACCAAGGAGCACTGCGTGGGGGAGAGGAATGCTTTCACACCTTCATTACACTAATGAAACAGGAAATTAGATTTTTTTCAACAGTGAAAGAAAATAAGGTGCAATATTTCTGTGTTGTTTTCTATAAGATCAAAATGAAGTCGCAGCCGGACCAGGGAGGGAAGTGTCTTAAACAAAGGGAGCGTTTTTCAGATTGTTCAGCATTCTAAAATATAATGAACCACTTAACAATCATTTTAAATCCTCGGGCGCATTTTGAGTCTAAGCCTGCACTGTTATGTAATTTAAGCGAATATCACTCTTTTTTATTTTCAGTTTAAGCATGCGTGCACTGAGCAACTATTTTGGGATCTGGTCTAAGTTAGATTCTCAATTCAATATTAATGTGTAAGATATTGATTATGCCTTCCAGGGAGTACAGTCTGACAGGGGAGAATAAGGGAGCAATGCAGGACAATGTTATGGGTGACCACAAGCCTGGTTTATCCCATGTGTGCTTTTTGTCACTAAAACAAAATACCTGACACAGGCTACTTAGGAAATAAAGGTTTATTTAGCTCACTGTTTTGGAGGCTGAAAGTCTAAGTGGCATTTTGCCAGCTTGGTGAGGGCCACCTCTTGGCTCCATCACCTCAAATAGTTGGAACTCCTGCAGAAGCTAACAAGTGATTACCTCTTGGACCAGGTACAGGGAGAGACAGGGGTCCCACAATCCCCTCAGAGACCAGGCCACCAATTGACCAAGGACCTCTTGGCCCCGCCTCCCAGAGGGCCCACTATCTCCTAATAGTGCCACCCTGGAGACCAAGCCTAGAATCACCAGGGACCCTGGGGAGTCGCTCATGCCACACCCAAGCCCACCATGCACCTGTTGTTGCGGCGTGATCATTACTGGCGACTCCTTCACTCAGAAGGTTTGGGTTTAGATAAGAGGACACACAATGACCCTAGAAAAAACAGTGGAGGAAGGTCAGGGGAAGCGAACGGCTGTGGATGGACCAGTGGTGATTTCTCTCGTGTGCCTGACGTGGATAAGTGGAAGGGAAGGGGCCCCGGGCAGACAGGAAGGCCAGGAGGACTGGGAGCTCCCTGAGGGTGCCGAGCTCTGTTTAGCTTGTCCTGTACCCACAAAGCTTGCAGGCCGTCCTCCTGAGCAGACTTCAGACTGAGATTGCAGGTAGGAAAGGTCAGGACGGGGCGGAGGCGTGCCTGGCAGGGAAGGCCCTGGGGAGGGCTGTGAGCCAGGAGAGCTGGTGGTGACGGCAGAACAGGGCCACACCAAAACGGCCTTGTGTGGAGAGAAGGTCCTCCAGCTCCCTCTTGGGCTTGTCCCTTACCTCTGGGTTTGGGTGCCACTGGCCCTCACCGCCAGCTCTGGAAGTGAGCTGTTCCTTCTCAAGGGACTGAAGAAATAATGTCGCCATTCTCCGGGCTTGTGTCCTTCTGTCCTTGTCTTCCGGGACTCTTGGAAGGGAGCGAGGGCAGGAGGGAGAAGAGAACCCGAGAAACACAAAAGCAGCACAGATAAAGAGCAGCCGCACTTCCTGCTGCTAGGAGGAGGGATGATTGAGAATGACAGTTCCCTGGAGCGAGAGCCACCTCCACCTCAGGAGGCCAGTTCATTTCCCTGTCTGTTGCTGTGTGTGATGTTCTGGGATGACGTGACCTTGGCCTTTGCTGGGACCATCTACCTTCCTGTTAGTACGTCCCCACGTTGAGATGCCCTGATAGTACAGAGGTCCGGGCTGGTCAGTCCTGCAAGAAGACTTCAGAATGACCACCAGTGGCAGCCCCTGGATGGGGGCCACACCATGCGTCTGGCTTACAAGGCTACGGGCAGCATTTGCTTTGGTACAGTCCCTATCCTCCCAAGGTCCGGTAAGACTCAGCGTTGTCGGGTGCCGCTTCATCCTCAGCGTAGATTCTTCAGAGCAGAATCCATGCAGCAGAGAAGGGATCAGTGGAAACAGCTGCAGAATCCTTGGGTCAGCAAGGCCTAGGAAACGCTCAAGGTTGAAGGCACTAGGGTGGACTTGGAAGGCCAGGGTGGAACGGGGCTACCAGTGGACCCACCACCCAATCTACAGTCCAGAAGCTGCCTGTGATTCAAGACACTCCTGGCTCCAGAGTGAGGGGCCGCCCCCATGGTAGGGAAACAGCCAGCCAGGGGGGGGAAAAAAAAACAGGTGCCCCATGCAGGTGGCTGGAGACAGCCATGATGGGAGAAGCAGGGGGCAGAAAAGTAATGCCCTCAGGATGCCGTGTCTTAATCCCTGGACCCACAAATACACTTCCCTGTGTGATGGAGGGCTTGGCAGGAGGGTCAAGTGCAGGACTTGACAGCACCCTAGGTTCCCGCCTGGGCCCAGCCTGACTCTGAGAAGCCTTAGGACTGAGGAGGAGGAGCCAGGGAGGGGCAACGCTGTGGCCCTGGAGGTGGAGGAAGGGCCACAGGGGAAGGAATGCAGGAGGCCTCCAGAAGCCGGAAAGGTGAGGATTTTCCTGTGGAGATTCCAGAAGGAAGCACACCTCTGTACTGGTCAGTGAAACTCGGTTCGCCCTCCCTCCTCCAGAACTGTGAGCGTGTTGTGTTTTAAGCCAGTGCATTCGTGGGCCTGTACCGCAGCCGCCATAGAAAATGGATATGTCCCTCCTCCCTCTCATGCCACCTCTGATCTGGTGCAGCTGAGTCTGATGGGCCCCCCTTCACAGGCGGAATCCTAGCTGCAGGGGATTCTGGGAAGCAGGCTTCTGGGTGGGGTCAGAATGACACTGAGTGCCCTCAATGCCCCTTACAGCTGCCACAGGAAGATGAGGAACTTGGGGAGCCCAGGAGGATAGGCCCAGCACTCTTACCTGTCCCTCTCGGAGGTATGGTGGCACGTGGCAGAGCAGAGGTGAATGCCTGAGGCGCTTAGAAAGTTTAGCAAGTGTTGTTCAGACACTGAGGCACAAGGGGTTGTAGGAGGAAGGGGGCGTCAGAATGGTGCAGACCTAGCATGTTAGAAGTCACTGTCTGGAGATGAAGGAGAGATTATTCATAAATGTCAGTATCAGGAAAAGACACACTGTCTGCAGCTGGGCCCTTAACCACAGCCCATCCATGGAGCAGACTGTGTGTTTCACAGGTGACCTCAGCAATCTGCTACCCCACACAACCCTCCCACAAGACGACCCTCCCACTCCACCCAAGAAGGGAAGGAGGTTTATGTCCCTCCCCTTCAGAACAGGGACAGTCTTGATAGAGTGTGTAATGAAGGTAGATGGCAGCAGACAACCCACCTTCTACCTGTCGTGGGAGTGGCAACTCTTGAAGCTTGAAGCTGCTTCACCATGTTAGCTCTGACTGTTCTGAGACCACCATGCTGTGAGGAAGCCCAAGCTAGCCAACCACAGCGACCTGAGAAGAGAGAGAGGAGGTGGCCCTTAGCAGCTGCAGCCCTGCTCCTCCACATCTACCAACTGATGAAAGACCTAAGACAGAACTGTCCCAGACCTCTCCAGTGCCCGACTCACAGCTGGCCTCAGGCCACTGCATTTGACAATGATTTGTCTCCCAGAATAAATAACTGGGTTGGTCCATACAGTCAGATGTGAAAAACATTCAGACCACAGTCTTGTATCTTCCCTGTCAAATTTCTCACTGTGAGGCCAATAACACTGCAGAGATCACTAGCTCAATAAACAAACCTAAAACCCATATTGGCCTAAGGAGTACATTCTGAAATTTTATATCAGAAGCAAACATATTTGGTTGATTTGTCGGGGGAGGCTTGAGGAAAGTGGAGTTGATAGCATTGAGAAGGAGCGGCTGATCCCACATTTGAATAGGCAGGAATCCAAACTCCTTTAAAAGCAGAGCTATCTCGGTTAGTAAGCCCAGGTGCTGCAGACCTTTACTTTGGGAGTGTCCTCAAGTCAGGGCCCACTGAGGAGATGGAGAGAGAGAAGGAAGAGCAGCTGGACTGACCGCAGTGACCGCACCTGAGGCCCAGGGCACAGAGGCGGGGAGCTCCCGCTCCTAAAGGCCAACGCGGCTTCCTTCTCTATCTGCCTCTTCGGCCTGCACCTGCCGCCTGCCTGACGGCCTTGCAGCTGCTGTTCCTCAGCCTGCCTTCGAGGTCTGTTGAGAGCTCTGTGTCACCCACTTCCCTGCAGGTGACAGGACCCCACCTCTGGGTGGGCTCTCGCAGAGCCCAGCAGCTTTCTCCTCCCTCATCCCATTTGAACCTGAGAGCAACCCTGTGATGGGACTCAGTGTCCCTACCTCACGGTCAGGCGACGCAGTGGACAGTTACCTGGTCTGCCCAGGATTACCGCACAGCATCAGGGGCACTGGGGTGCCTGGCTCCTCGCCAGCGTCTCCCACCCAGTGGGTGCCCCTCGCCACTTCCCCAGCGGTCGCGGTCCTGCTGGAGAGGGCAGGGTGCTCTGTTCTGCCTCCTCCTCCTCCTATCTTAATGTGGCCTCTTTGGAGCCAAAATTTTCAGGAGGCCTGAGATGTGGCCGTGCTTTTATTACCTGACTGAC